CTGTCATATAAAACAAAAATACATATTTTATCATCACTGTCCAAAACAAGTATTTTTGATCTTCCATTTTTTACTGTTTTGCAGGGAGATGGTCGACATCGAACGTTTTCTGAGAGAGACGGCAGCGAAAGAAGCAGAGGCCAAAACCAGACTGCAGGTGGCGCTAAAATCCTCTGTTATCTGTAGTTTTTATTTTCACTCCCTCGTCACCTTCTTGCTCGTTTGGTTTCCAGATGTTCATCGAGACGTTGCTGGAACGAGCCGACCATGCAGAGAGACAGTTAATGCAGCTCAGCTCACACACGCATCACAATCGCTACACGCACCACAACGACAAATACACACACGCAGATGTGTACGCCGACCCGTACACACTCACAGGGGTTTACGCACCTGTACCTGGCCGACGAGGACGCAGCCTGGATGGCAGCACTGACGACATCATGCCAGACAAGATGCAGGAAACCATCGGCAACCGGGTGAGAAACGATTAAACATACTTCTGTATGTATTGTTTAAAATGTAGAGAATGATACATGATGAAGTCAGGCTCCTTTTGAAAATGTCCATCATAGAGAAAGAGTTATTTACACATGTAATCAGATCTGATCTGTACAGGGTTTATTTAGTTTTGTCTATAAAATGTTAGAAAACAAACTCGTTTCAGATGCTTTTTAAAGTACTTGTTTTAAAAACTTTACAATCTGATATGAAGAATAACATCACTGAATTTATTTAATAATTAGTGATTTTAAGCTTTTCTTCTTTCTCTTCTTTTTCCCCTTCCTCTTTTTCTTTCTCTTCTCCTTCTTCCCCCTTCTCCTCCTCCTCATCCTTTTCCTCCTCCTCCTCTTTTTCTTATTTTTCCTCCACTCCGTCTTCCTCCTCCTCCTCCTCTTCTTTTTCGTCTTTGTCCTCCTCCACTTCATCTTCTTCTTCCTCCTCCTCTTCCTCCAGAGGAGTTACAGTGTGTCGGGCTCCTGCAGACTTGATGAGCAGCTTCACAGCCTCCCTCACTACAGGTGCATTAACAGATATAAAACACTTCAGGTCTTTGATTTCTAGGATCATGTGTGAAAATAAAATCTGAAACTTTATTTTCATGCTGAATGAAAAAGCAGGTTATAAATATTGAGTGCATCATATTTTGATTTATACATTTATGAATTTCTCATCGTATTGTAAAGGACCACTCTCTTTGTAACATGTCCTCTGTGTTTGTCTCTAGCAGTCGTCTGTCGGGGGGGATGTGGACCTCGTCGCTGGGTTTGGGGGGGTGGGACTGTGAGGGAGGGTTGGTCCAGCTCCCACCACATCACTACCCCCCGCCCTGGAACCGACGAGAGAGAGGAGGAGGAGACGGGAGAAGAGAGAGATTCTGGTGAGAGAGATCCTTGTGCACTCGTATAAACTTTATTCATATAATT